TTTTTCTATCCCACTTCTGACACCGATTTGTTACGTCTCTGGTCATTAGTTAATTTTCCGAAGAAACTTCTTTCCGAAGAAACTTTAGCGATACAAGTCCTTTCTTAAATAAAACTGGTTTATTCTTTCTGAATACAACTTTGAAAATCACTTAATTTCCATGGTCACGCTATAGCTTAAACAAACGCTATAATTCACCATGAACGACTCACGTGCTCGACTCAACTGTCAGTCTCTCTCTGTCTGCAATTCAATTACCTTACATGTTGCCGTCACGTCTTACCAGTCTTATATATATAGGAATACCGCATATCTAGTAAATGCTCGAGACTTCACAAACCTTCGAGAATATGACGTGCTACTAGAGTCACGTGACCCCCGCTGTCGTAACAATATTTTAAGTATAAGGTACATTGAAGCATCAAACAGATAGAGTTGTTTCTAGTTGAGTGAATCAATCAGTGAGTGTTTTTGTTTCGGCTAGCAGAATATTAGTCAGTGATATGTTTTGAGTTACTAGATTAATCAGCCATGAAGTTTAACAAGAAGTTTATTTTTAATTTAGTTTAGTACAATTAGTGTGGCAGTAAATGTGGCCCACAAGTTATCAAAGTGTTTAAGCTTGTGGTAATATTAAAGGAGGAAATAAACTAATTTGTTATTGTTACATGGACTACAATTGTTTTCACCATATAATTTTAAATAACCTGCCAACAAAAGATCGACATTACAACACTGATGTCATAACTGTGATTATTTTAGTGAAAATAAAATAGAACTTTGAATATACTTGAAGTTGAACTTCAACTGTTGAAGATGATGAACATGAAGTCAAAGAATAAGAGCAGGACATTACTTAAGATGATGATATTATTAAGACAGGATAAGATAGAATGAGGTATAAAATTAAAAGAAAACTGAGAAACAATTTACAGAAAATGAAAAGAGAATCAGGAAGAAAGAGACAGTGACAATTAATCTTCCTGCTCTGTTATTACAATACAGTATTTGATAAGTTCACTTTAAAATCACCACTATATATATATTGGTTACTACAGTTGTATCCAGACCTTTAAGTAATTGTCTTTCTTTGTCAAAGTCCACACAGGCTGGCTCAATTATCTTAGAATACAATTAACAAGACAATTCTTCTCTACTCTGTTATTACAATACAATCTGTAATAATTTCATATTAAAAATCACTACTAAACACTCTTTATGACTAAACTCACAATCATGAAGGATAGATCTAGCTATTCAACTAACTAGCTAACTACATTTTGGATGTGTATTTATAGCTTGACGAAGGCATAAAACATTCCATACACTATGAAATATTATGATGCAATAATAGTCAATTAAAACAACAAGAAAAAATTAGAAGGTTCTAGTAACATGATGCAATGATATAACAATTGCCAATTCACAAAAATTGAACTACACAACGAATGATTTCTAAACAGTTATGTAAACAAGCTTGCAATAAAGTATCACTTTCAAAAATAACCAAATTTAACACTCGTGCTGTATAACTATCTAAATCATAACTTAAATTGAAACAGTCGTGTATATCTAACAATAATCCCCTCTTCAAGAAAAATATTTACATTTTTATACTATATACAAATTCTGTTTTCAGTTCATGCACAAAGTCTATTCATACAGTCTGCACCAAGATTTGTAGTCCCCTTGATGGCTTCAATGCACAACTGGTAGTTCTAGAGATAAAATGCCTACCTCATGATTCTTGTACTGTCGATTTTGTACAAGGGGTGATGGTCTGTCTGGATAATTAACTATTTTTTTGTAGAGGTAGTTTTGGAATTTCTGGATGGCATATATGATGGCCAAACACTCTTGTTCAATCACAGAGTAGTTTCTCACTACTCAACAGTTTTTAACTGATGCACATTATGGAAAATAGTCCAACTACATGTTCTTGCAGAGGTACTTCTCCAATTCCAATGTCTGATGCATCTATGGCTATCTGTCGGTTGCCCATCTTGTGTCCAACAAAGTCCAGCAAAAAATAACCAAGGTAGCACTTAGATGGTCTGATAGTCAGTCCTGCTGCCCTCACTTGCCTGTGTTTTTTCAGGTGGTCTTACCATCTGTCTGTGTGGGGCAGAATGTCATCCACATAATGCTTGATGTTGGTGGTTTTGTGCAACATCTTCCTAATCATGTGATTGAATGTTATTGTTGAGTTGACTAACTAAGATGGCATCTTCTTGAATTGGTAGTATCCATCTGATCTCACAAAGG